TCCATCTTTCCCTCAATCTTCTTCACTATCACCTTAGGGACGTCTTTTTCTGCTGGTTCTACCCTGACTGCATCAGGACCTGAATCAAAGATGCAACGTCGATTTTTTGCGATATCTTGCCTGATATTAATTTCCTTCTCTCAGTTAACGGTACGATTACTTTGGAATTTTAATATATGATTGAATATATAAATATGAATGATTTTTCTCGTCCGTCATAATTGACGATGTAGCCGTCGTTCTTTGTTCAATTAAAGTGGGAAACATATCTACAACGAGATACTAGATAAGAAAAACGAAAATAGATTCTGAAGAGGGAAGTTGAATGCATTTTTGCGCGATTTTATTTTTAAATGATAACAATATTCTTGTACGACTTATATAGATGTGCATCAAAATGTATTATCAGTTTATGTGGCACATAAATTAATCAGTTATATTTAAATCTATCAAATTTTGAGCGTTAATTATTATATGAGATAAAAAATTTTATTATTCTATTTCAATATTATACATGTATGTATCCTTAAAAATCTTGTAAGTTTGTACTTTGTGTTTTGCAAAAAGCAATTTTTTTAACAGTTCAAAAATTTTAATATTATACTTTTCAGAAATATCATTTTATACATATTTATATATATATATATATATATTAAAATTTTAAAAATAAGTTATGAAATTTTAAATAACTTAATATTCTTAATTACAAATTTCTTAAGTATATAAATAAACTTTCTACAATTAGAAACTCTATAATAATGCTATTATGAATCCATAGATGTATTATGATGATCAGAATAAAAAAATAGCAAATTTTTTAATATGAACCTTAAGCAGAAATTATCGGGAATTTATCGCAAATAAACTTCAAAAAGAAAATGCTTGATGAGATCACTAAGAAAACCTAGGAAGATTGTTTATATACCAGCACGTGTCCATAAAAGCGCGTGAGGACCGGGATAAGGGAGTTAGAGGAAATAGAAAGGCTAAGAGGGTCAAAAGAAGGATGGCAGGCACGAGGAACCAAAAGGACACGTGTACGAGGGATATTCATCGATCCTGCTCACTTTTAGGTTGTTTTCCAAGGTTGCCGGTCCTTTCACCCTCCCTTCTTAGCCTCGTATCAATGACCCCTCGCGACCCCTCGCGATACTGACGTACCAAAGTACGCCAGTAGGTCAACTAACCCTGAACTCGGTGCGCCGTGAGAGAGAGAGAGAGAGAGAGAGAGAGAGAGAGAGAGAGAGAGAAAGATTGATTGATTGATTGATTGATTGATTGATCGATTGATCTTTATTAGCTTCAATAGCTACAATGTGTGATACAATCTAATATAATGCCTATTTATTAATATTCAAACCGCCAAACTTAAACATCCCGTACATCTACATTGCACTATCCCTCTCCACTCCTCATATATGATACTAGCGCTGTCTTAAAATTTTTGATCTTTTTTCCGTTCTTATTTCATTAGGTAAATTGTTGTACATTTTAAATCCATCACATAACAACATTCTCTGTTCCTCTTTAATTTTACATCTTTTAATATATATATTTCCCTCTGATCTTGTGTCCTTCTTCCCTTCTTATTTGCTCTATTTTATTTTTTAAATACCCGGACAATCTCCATTTACCATTTTATGTATCAAAATACAAACATTGTATTTAATTCTTTCCTTAATTGATATAAATTGCAATGTCTCAAGCATGTCTTCAATTCTCTTCTGTAATTGCACCGTAATATAATTCTCATTTCCTTATTTTGTAATTTCTGTAAATACTGCACATTATAATTAAATTTAAACTCAGTAATATAGACGAACAATATTCAAACAACGGAGTAATTACGCTTTGTATACATCACACCTCATGTATGGTGTCAAATTCATACTAATTCGACGAAATGCCTCCAATTTCGATCCTATCTTTTTCCCCAGATAGTTAATATGTGCTGTAAAATTTAAATTTCTATCTATAATGACACCTAAGTATTTAATTTCACTAACCACTTCTAATGCTATATTTTCTAGTTTTACTTTTATATTGCTTTCCGATACTTTTTTCCTAATACCTCTAATTAGCATAACTTTGGTTTTATTCACATTTAATTTCAGTCTATTATTTTTCAACCATTCCTCAATTTTTTGCATCTGTATATTAAGATTATCATTTATTTCTTGGCTCATATGGCCTATTGTATATATTAGTGCATCATCTGCGAATAATCTAATTTCACAATTGCCACAAACAACTCTTGTCAAGTCATTTATATAGATTAAAAATAATAACTGTCCTAATACTGATCCCTGTGAAACTCTCAACTTCACAGCAATAGATCCTGACAAACTTCCATTAAATTTAACTCTCTGAGTTCTGTTTTCTAAATAACTTTTAAACTAACTAAGTACTACCCTGTAATCCCATAACTTTCCATTTTCTTTAACAAAATATCTCTGTCTACTAATTCAAATGCCCTTTTTAAATCTAAAAATACAACTATCATCTTTCTTTCACCTATACTTCTTTTCCAACTCGATATAACGCATTGAAGGGCACTCTCATGAGTGTCTCACTCTAAACTCTAATTGGCACTCTTCTAATAATTTATTATCCTCCAAATAGTCAACTAATTGACTGTGAACTGTTATTTCTAGTACCTTTTTAAATCGATAACTTATTTATAGGTCGAAATTCTCCTATTTTTTTTGTTCTTCGTATTTTTGATATAGGAATTACAATAGCTTCTTTTCGCTCATTTGAGAATATTCCTTTAAAGATTTATTCAATACTTCGCATAATTTTATACCTGCTACCGTTACCATCCTTTTCATTATCTCAACAATTATTCCTTCCTCTGTACCACTTTTGTTTCCTAATTTATTAACTATTCGATTTAATTCGCTTACATTAATTGTACTAAAAACTTCAAATTTACTTTCAGTATATTTATCTATTATTAATTCCAATATATCATCACTTTCTAAAGCCCCTGATATGCTATCTACAAAATACACACTGAATCTCCCTGTATTATCTCTACTCATACTACTCTTCAGCAGCTCCAAGCGATCTCTACATTTTGTCTAGGATTTTTTTTATTTTTATCTAATCTAGATTCTAAATAATTCCTCTTGGCCTTTCTACATTCATCACTTTGTTTCTCAGTTAATCAAACAGTTCTCAATCATCATTATTCTTGCTTATTCGAGCTAGTTTATAGGTTTCATCTCTTAGATTTATCATTTAACCTCGGATTACCTCGGAAAACCATTGTTTACCTCGCCACTTATTTCGCAGTGTAATTTTCTTTCTAGGCGCAACCTCATCAAGACACTTTACAATCGCATTTATAGTTAAATTCGAGATTATTAACATAGATTATTAACATTATTACCTTTGACAACATTTACACTACAATTAATTCATTTTCATAAATTTTTCCATATCCATCTTCTTATAATTCCTACAACACAATCGTTCTATTCTCACTTTTTTTCGCACTTACATCCCAATATAAGACAATCATTGAATAAGGAGAGGGGGGAGAGAGAGAGAGAGAGAGAGAGAGAGAGAGAGAGAGAGAAAGAGAGAGAGAGCCACCCAGGGCATTGCTTTTTACACGCTATAAACGACAACGAGAGGGAGAGAGTTATTAGTCCTAACACGAGTTTCTTCTCGTTATTTCGCAACACTGTGCTTACGGAACTACATTAACCTCTTAAGAGATTTATTTATTTCCTTATATACTTACAATTCAAACAAACCGCACAGAATTTCCTTCTAAACCTAAATTAACAAAATATATGAAACCTTGTATTTTATAAGAAAATAATTTTGATCGTATTGTTGTAATGTTATTTAAAATAAAGCTTCAGTAGTCTAAATGCTTAGGACGCTTGTACGGAATATAAGAGATCCGGGTTCGACTCCCGTACATTAATATCTTTGTAATAGGATGCCAGATTGGCATCAAATTATTAAATTGTTTATCAATTTAATTTGTGATATTACTATAGTAGTATAATTGCGTTTCTAAGTCCGAAATTATTATTTCAGCGCGCTTCAAATGACTACATTAATATATAAATTCACATAGAAATTATTTAAAAAAAAAAGGATCTAAGATTTAGCTTCGATATTAGCTTCGATAATAGGCATTGACTCTTATTTGTTGTGTGTTCACATATATGGTTTTAATAAATAATTTATTATTATTTATTTGAAGTTCTTTAGTAAATTGAGTAACCATAGAAATGTTTAATTTTTTTATATAATGAAGTTGAAATTGACATGTGCAAAATTCTACGGTAGGTTAACGATGAAATAAAAGAAAAAAAATATTGAAAATGTAACTTCTCACGTATAATTTAGTGATAGATAAGGCTTGCAGAGCTTCTTTGACTAACTGCACAAAAATTTTACCATAGATTTTTCTCAAAAACGAGATTATAATATTTTAAAAAATTACGATTTTAATGATCACAAAAAAGTCAACCACAAATAGGTCAACTGGAAAGATATTCACGTGCATAAACTTGCATATAAATTTAATCTCGAAAAGTAAACATAATCTCATCTTGTTTTCGTTTGATGAAGAAGCAGTTCTTGATTTACTATTGTATATTCCATGCTATTTCATTAAGATATACTTGTAGTTTTAATATTTTATCCAAATTATGCAAATATTTGTAATAATAATTTTGGGCTTTGGTGAGGCACTGGGTTTTTTCTTTTTTCATCGGATTTGTTTCTTAAGCCCATTCTACATTAGACGCAAGCCGATCGCAAGTTTGTTGCAACAGCCAATCTGAAGCTTGCATTTTGAAAGCAATCTAATGTAGAATAGGTTTTATGCATGAGGCACTCCAGATATTTATAAAATAAAGCTATTAAGCCTCTCAGAACTACTCGATCTTGAATTTCGATAAGAAATTAACATCTCATTTTTGAAAAATTATTAAAAAATGATTATTAAATGGAACTCTTGTTATAAACTATAGGGAATTCTTCGTCTCGTCAAAAGGAAGTGGGAATCTAATCAGAACTCCAGTAGGGGAGACCGGGGCTAGTTGTTACACGGGGTAAGTTTTTTTTATTGCCACAGGTGGCAGCATTTTCATAAATTTTCATATGTGATTATTACGATACTCTACAACTTCACTTAGTTTAGCCGCCATATTTGAACGCCAATAATATATATTTGAACTCTAGAAGACGTTATGTATGTTTTTTTTATTTTCACTATTAAAAGTAAATATTATATTGTATAAGTCTTGTGTTATTGTATAAGTTATAGAAGTATGTGATTATCTTTTTGTATATTTTTTTATACATTAGATTATAACACATTTTGTTTGAATTGATATATGTACTGGTTTTCGATCTGTAAATTTTTTCGAATCGAAAATGGAAGGTTAGGGTAAATTGTTACCGTCACTATTCCTACTCAATATGTCATTAATTTAATTAAAACAATGAAATTAAATAATATAAAACTCAAGTAACTCAAATGTAGACTTAAATGTAATTTATTATTTATTATGTGCATATGTGTGTGTGAATGTTGTTTATTTTAAAAATAACTACAGAAATATATTGATTTAAAACTCATCAAATAGGAAATAGGAATTCTGATCATAACAGTTTAATCTTTTTAATCCTTAATTAATTTAAAGTGTAGAATTAATATACATATATATATACCACATTGTAGTCATTTAAACTACGCGCCGAAATTTTTTCGAACTCGGAACGCAGTTAAACTATCGAAATAATGTTATAATTAAATTTTTTGATGCTCAATAGGCATCTATCAGAGAGATCTTAATATGATAAAAATCTGTAAATAAATTTATTTACTGCGAAAAATTTTACCTCGGTCGGGAGTCGAATCAGATGTATTGATTTACATTTTGACATACGTGGAAGTTAAAAATTACTACAAAATATTATTCAACTCGAGGGATTAAATTGTCATTGTTTCTAATAGTGTAATATAGTCTGTTTCATTTACAATAAGTTATGTGCGTGTTTTTTTTTATTTAAAAAAGCATTACATTTTTCAAAATAATAAATACATATATTATACCATACATATATATGCATCATGTAATATTCCCGTAGATAAATTAATTCTATTTATCAATCTTGTTTCAATATTGTAAAAACAATTACCAATCATTTTACTGATCATTTTCTTTAGTTATACTTATTGTGAATTGTTCATGTACGATTATATAAGCAAAATCAATAATCGCGCATTCAAATCAAATCTGTCTAAAGAATTTTTGTCAAACTGCAATTCCAAATGTATTTTCTTTGTGTAACGATCAACTGATCAAGTCGTAAAGATTTTTCATGAATGTCGAGATGTAAAATGGAATTGACGTGTCAATGAAATATATCTATAATACACGTGTAGGTAGACGCTTTGTCTAGTAGAAATCACGAGATTACAGACGGTCTTGATAAGAACAGATAGGAAATTAAAGTTATAATACGATAAAATATAAGTTCGCCGAAAGAACTCGCGATAAAATGTGTGCGATAAAATGTAATTCAGATCCAGAATTATCGACTATAAAAGGATCTTCTATCTAAACTTTCCGGGAAATAGATCGCGCTTCTGAGGAAAATTGGAGAAAAAAATCAATATATAGCGGATGTCACTTAATCGGGATTTCTTCGAATTCTAAATATAATCCTTTATTTCTTATGACAAGAATATGATTTTCTTAATAAGTATAATTTCAAGTATTAATAGATAATAAAATTAATTTTTCTCTCAAGTAGATTTTTTGTTGGTTTTACCGAGATGTTTAAAATTAAAAACTTCCTTCCTATTTCGTAAAAGAAAAAATCAATTATGAATTGAAAAATTTGTAACTATTGTAATAAAACATTCGTTCCATGATATACCAATTATTGTGCGGAAAAAAAACGGTTTTGTGAAGTATCTAAAAATTTAGCTACACTGAGAAAAATTTTGATTAAACAAAAAAAGGCCTAATAGAAATGACATTTTGTTTGTCAGAATACAACAAATTCTGTTTAGTCTCATAAAAATACCATTCTTGTTAGACCTTTTTGTTGATTTAAGAACTACTAGAATTAATTTTTTTCATTATAAATCTGAAAATAATTTTGTTGAACTATAAAAATAATTATGTAGAACGCTCCAGTTGATTGCTAGAATGTCAAAACTTTTTGCAAGATTGCTCATTAAGCTTGAATTTCCTACATAATTATGTTGGTAGAATCAAATTACAATATTTTCAGAGCTGCATCTCTCTCTCTCTCTCTCTCTCTCTCTCTCTCTCTCTCTCTATATTTAAATTTTTTTAATTTAGGTAGATATAAATTTGAAAATTTAGTAAAATTATTTTGTGTATATTTCTTTCGATTCCTGTTTTACTGAGGATGTGGTCTCACTACGAATACCTTGAAGCATTTGATTAACCAATCAAAAGAAAAGAATTTTATTAATTGACCAATCAAAGATTGGATTGACCAATCAATGCTTTAAAGTATTTGTAGCATCAGGTACCCTTGATCGTACCCTTTGTTATTTAAAAATAACTTGCACTATGAAGTATATGAACGAACCGTAAGATTTCCAAGTTGAAACACGTGTTTCGCCACTTAGCTCGCATGTTTGACACGATCGGTGCGGATGAATGAAAACGTGAGAAGCAAAGGTTGGAGGGCACGTGGCGAAGGAGAAAAGGAAGGACGAGGGTGAACGCGTGAGAGGAAAATCGTTGCCACGACGGGGCGGAGGAGGGGGAGGGAAGGAAGGAGAATACAGAGCATTTGGGGAGAAGCGTCTCACGTGGAATGACAGGCGGGGGAGGAGAAGATCGCGACGAGGAAGAGTAGTGGCGGGGAAGAAGATCCGCGTAGAAGGAGGAGAAGCGGCGAAAAGGGTAAAGAGGCAGAGAAGAAACGAGCGAGGAAGCGCGCGCATGCGAAGGGAGCCCCGCGCGAACCTCCTCTCCTTCTCGAACGAGTATCGAACGCGCGCGTCGGCGACCACTATACGTAGTCAAGGTCGGTCCTTGCTCCTGCCGCAAAGCGGCGACCTTAGTGGGATGTATTATCCCCTTTCGCGCGCGCAATACGACGACCCTTCCTCTCTACTCTTCCACGGCTGCCGCCCTTTTGCCGCGCGGTGTAAATAAAGACGAACGGATCGCGCGCGCGTGTACTCCCCTGAAGCAAGTTCGTTAAACCCTATCGATTTGCGCGGCGAATGAACAATGGAAATCCCGCGGATTAAAAGTAGATCGCACTTTTGTCCCGATAACGAAGATGCTCTTCTCCTACAACGACGACTAAAGGCGACTTCGCGTTCGCGAAAAAGATTGTTTTTTGCTGCTCAAGTATCTAACAATTTAGATCGATGTAGATTTGAATTTTGTTTGGATCATTAAAGTAACTGACTAACATTTAAACTGATTGCTAGAATGTTAAAACTTTTTACAGCATTACTCATTACACTTGAGATTCCCACATAATTATTTTGATGATCCAACAAAATTATTTTCAGATCCATATCTAACTACTTTTTTAAATACTTTAATAAAACCATTCTTTTCACGAAGAAAAATGGAATCTTACATTTAAAGTGTAACTCTGCTGTTCCGAAAATAGAGCGGAAATTTCATATTTGATGCTTTTCCGTCGTTAATAAATCACGTTATTAAATCACGAATTTTCGAAGATTGCTTAAACATATGCTATTCGTTTAAACCGTATGTATTGTGCATTAATAACAAGGCCAAGCAGATAATACAAGCGAAAAAAATTATCAGTAAGTTACGATTTTAAATTGGAGACTAACGTCGATTACTACAGCCCTGACTCGATGATAAATTGTCTCCATCATTCTGTATCGACTGTGTCAGATGGACAGTGTCAAGCGAATGGCAAGGTAAAATAAGAGACAAATTTATGAATTTTAAGTTACGTGGCACGTCACGCAGGCTATATGTACATACTGAGTTCCGATATTATAATATAAAAATATACCATCGATATATACACACTTATAATACATAACTCAAGAATAGAAATCATTACTAAATATTACATGTTACGTGCCTTAAAACCTTCCTATGTTATATTAGTACCAATGACTTATTTATGAGAGGTCATTATAGCGGTTATAATATACAAAAATTATCATTGATACGAATTGATACCTTTAAATTACCTCGGATTATTTAAGATTAACACTACTTCAAATTATTCCAGATTATCAAATACTACGTCATATTAAAGATCTTAGAGTATCTAAAATTACATCATATTTTCTGAAATTATCCAAAATTTTTTACCCAAATTTACTTTGCTCAGCTAAGATTACCTTGTACGAGTACATAAAGTATTATTTTCTTCATATCATTCTAGAATATCTTTATAGACCACTATGATAATATCTTCGTGAATATCGATTTTAACTTTTCTGCTTAAGAAAGAAACGCAATTTTACAAAACAAATATTTATTGCATACAGGAACATAAAAATATAAAAATTTCGCAAACAGAATATATATTATATGTATAAATAGCAACAAATTCGACTACTCGTTACATTTGAGATTTTTTAATACATACCAATACCCAATTGAATATAAATATTAATAGGTAAAATAAAAAATTAAAAAAAAAAAACACTTTTTTAAAATAACACAATTTAATAATAACACAGACTCTTTGTTAAATGACATCACAACTTAATGTTAAATTAAAAATTTTGCGACTAATTAAGTTAAGTATAAATAAAAAGGTACATATATAAAACAAACATTTGAAAACTTTTATGTGTATGTACTTAAATATTATTAAAGTCCTGATATAATTAAAACTTTTTTAAATTTTTTTTAACTGTTTTATAATCAGTTTTCTATCAGATTGAGAAATAGTTAAAGGATTAAGAGTGTCATAATACCCTGCATATTAATATATAGGGCCATAAAATATATATTTATTCTCAATTTTTTGAATATCATCTTTTTGTGGCCACTCAACACTTGTAAATTTTTAAACAGAAATTTTATTTTAAACATTTAATTAATAT